TATCATATTTTCTTACCAACAACACACAAGCCTGATTGCCAGATGGTTTCTGTGCAATATTGCCAAACATGCCAGGAGTAAAAATGTTTCTATTTACCCGACCTGTGGGGCAAGTTGTAACAGACAAAGGGTTAGTTGTAACACATGCATATTAAGGCAGATTTCACACAACTCATTTAAATTCAGTTTACTATAAATAGTTTATTTCCTCAGTACTTAAATTTTGTTTTTTCTATATAGCACAGCATGTTTATTTATTTATCTATTGAATAAACACATTTGGATGTATTTGCATTATTATCCATTATTATACCATGCATTTATTTCCATTGTTAGCAGAAAAAATTATATTAAAATATTTTTATTTCTATATCATTTTTTATATAAAAAGTTCCCAACATTACACTCAAATTTTTTATTATTTTGTTTGTATAATTGGTGTCCAACAGTGTGTAGCTTGTTTGTAACATCTTGTTACAACTACCCCGCTGTGTCGTGTTTTTCTCAAGATTGACTAGCAGTCACTGTGTTTTTTATATCTTTCAAAATGATTCCAGCTTTTAGCCCATAAGACGGTAATCCCAACAAAAGAAGGTTTTACTGGTTTAAAGTAAAAAGCTAAATTGACCCTAGTGTTTGAGTGTGAATGAGTGTGTGTTTCTATGGAGTCAATTTAGGGCCATATATATTTGCAAAATAAAATAAAATTTTTGCAAACAAAAAAAAAGTATTGAGCAAAAATAAACTAATAATTGCAAATGTCCGAAAGTTTGAAATACAAATAAAATTTTCTAACAAACATTAGAAACTGAAAAGGGAAAATTAAATTTTGAGAAAATAAAAAACAAATTTGCAAACAAAAAAATGCAAAGAAAAAAAATCATGCAGTGAAAAAACAACTAAACTCTTTAAAAAATGTTTTATAGCATTGCCTTTATAGAGCCTGTACAGCCAACTGCAATGCTCATTTTGATTTGATTTTAGTAACCTACTACCAGACCTACTGAGCTGTAAGACCATCTCGGTTCTACTGTGTCTACGGGTGATGACGGCGCTTAAATGGAGACAGGTCCAGGCCTGCCGTAAACGCCCAAGTTCCCTTGACTCCGCCTCCTTTTCAAATTAGGGCCACAAAGTGAAACTGACTGGGCGGGTTTTGTAAAGACAATGCTATAAAAAATGTTTCGCAAATATATATAGTTTTTTATTTTTATTGCAAATATTTTAGTTTTTCTTTGCTCTGCTTGATTTTGCTGCAGTTCTTTTTTTTTTTTTTTTTTTTTTTTTTTTGCAAATTTAATTTTTTTCAATTTCTCAAATTTCCCTTTGCAGTTTTTCATTTTTGATAGCAAAATTTAGTTTTATTTCTCAATGTTATTTTTGCGTTGCGATTTTTGGACATTTCATTCATTCATTTTCTTGTCGGCTTAGGAATGAACCGCCAACTTATCCAGCACATTTTTACACAGCGAATGCCCTTCAAGCCGCAACCCATCTCTGGGAAACATCCACACACACACACACACACTCATACACTATACAGACAATTTAGCCTACCCAATTCACCTGTACCGCATGTCTTTGGACTGTGGGGGAAACCGGAGCACCCAGAGGAAACCCATGCAAACGCAGGGAGAACATGCAAACTCCACACAGAAACCCCAACTGAGCCGAGGATCGAACCCACGACCCAGCGACTTTCTTGCTGTGAGGCGACAGCACTACCTACTGCACCACTGCTTCGCCTTTTGGACGTTTTTATTTTTTGTTTGCAAAACTTTCTTTTATTTTGCATGAATACATGGCCCTAGATTGACTCCATAAGACTCCCAGTGATGGGTTGCAACTAGAAGGGCATCCGCTTCCTAAAACATATGCTGGATAAGTTGGCAGTTCATTCTGCTGTGGCGACCCCTGATTAATAAAGAGACTAAGCCCAAAAGAAAATGAATGAATGAATGAATGAAAGTTGTCTGCCAACACTGTGGTGAAAACCTTACGCATGCCATGGTTAACCCTGAGCAAATACCTTAAAACTCCGTGTTACATTTTACCCTGTGTTACTTTGTGCCCTGCACTCCCCTACTCTAACATAAATGGATACTAAATTTAGCAACGCAACATGAATTTAAGAATTACACTGTACATAAACCTTTCATTATGATTATGCAATAAAGACATACTATATTTCATATATCTTTATATTTTTCTTTAGCTATTGCTGCAAATAGGCAAATCACAAAATTAAATTTGCTGTGTGCACCAGCCTCTACAGAAGTTAACCCTAATATAATATATTCCAACCTCTCCACACACACACACACACAAAAAGAATTCATTGCTGTCAGTGTGAAAGCTTGTTTGTGTATCTCTGCCCAGCATGTTAGCTTTTTAAAAACTGCTCAAAATCTACATGGGAAAATTTGGTCCGTAAGACACCCCTCAAACGCACCCCATAGCCCCGAGAAATGAGATCTCGCCTCATTATGCAAATACGAGAATCCAGCGAGCGCAAAAAAAAAAAAAAAGTCATGTTCACATCACGGATGGTGCTTGTGTTGTCATGTTTGTGGTTGGTGACAGATACAAGGGAGGAAGATGGCAGCTTCAGTCAAAGGCCAGTGAATCTGACTTTTGTCCCAGAGGAGACGGTACAGCCTGGGCCCAATTCCACCAGCCAATTATTCCCTCCTTACACTGCCTGCTGCGAGCCCTCCTACAGGCAGCTGTCCTTCCTGGCGCCCAGTGACTAAATTTGACAAAAATAGGAAATCTCTGTAGAGCTGTGCTTGTAATTTAATCCAAAAGGTGTTTCTTTTTTGAACCGAGTTTAACACAGTCTCTGTAATGCGAGCTTGGCCGCTGCAAATGGAATGGTAATTGCTTTTCGCTTCCCAGATATGTGAAAAGGACACATGAATCATCTCCGGAGAGGGATGGTTTTCAAAACCATCAGCGCTGGATGTTTTTTTTTCCTCTCCTCTCATACTCAGTCACCACCATCACTCACCTTGACAGGGAAGTCATTAAATTGGTGATGTTGAATTCCTTTTACTGTTTTGTCAGGTTCACTTATTCCTTCAACCTTGAAATCTTCTTTCTTTCCCACAAAAGCGGCTCTATTACGGAGAGACGAGGTCTTAATTTTCGTGCATTTCAAATCGTGTTCCAAAGAAAAAAGAAATTAGTGTCGCTAGCTGAATTTTCATCAGACTTGTTTTATATATTCCTCCTTTTAAGAAAATGCTAAGAAATATGTGCGCAGTATGTGGGGAGTGACGTTCATACTTAATGCCTGAGATAGCAGCACAATGTTCTTATTTATAGTCTCTCTCTGTTCAAATGGTGTTACAGTCATACCACTTTACAGCAGTTCATCTTGCATGAAAGTTGACTCATAGTTTGATTTAAAGCTTTATGTTCCGAGTGCTTTAAATGTATTAAGCTATCAGCCATTACTTGAGGTAATGTTTATAATTTGCAGTTTTGTTTTCATATATTGAGATTTACTTTTTTTAAAGCAGCAGGGCAGGTTTAACATTTAAAACTATGGTCTGCAGTAATCTTTCTTTTTTTATATATATATATATATATATATATATATATATATATATATATATATAAAATTCACTGTGGCGAGGCAGTGGTGCAGTAGGTAGTGCTGTCGCCTCACAGTAAGAAGGTCACTGGGTCGCTGGTTCGAACCTCGGCTCAGTTCTCCCTGCCTTCGCGTGGGTTTTCTCCGAGTGCTCCGGTTTCCCCCACAGTCCAAAGACATGTGGTACAGGTGAATTGGGTAGGCTAAATTGTCCGTAGTGTGTGAGTATGTGTGTGGATGTTTCCCAGAGATGGGTTGCGGCTGGAAGGGCATCCGTTGTGTAAGTTGGCATCTTGCTGGATAAGTTGGAGGTTCATTCTGTTGTGGCGACCCTGGATTAATAAAGGGACTAAGCTGACAAGAAAATGAATGAATGAATAAAATTCAATGTACATTGTTCAATATTTAATGCTTTAAAATAATTTTTAAATTTTGACCTTTAAATAACTTATTTCAATTTCTTCACCCGTGTCATTCTCATGGCTATATCATTTATTGAAATATTAGCATTATTGTTGACAAAGGTGTTTATTAAAAAAGAAGAAAATGTATATATATATATATATATATATATATACAGTTGAAGTCAGAATTATTAGCCCCCCTGAATTATAAGCCCCCCTGTTTATTTTTTTTCCCCGATTTCTGTTTAACGAAGAGAAGATTTCTTCAACACATTTCTAAACATAATAGTTCTAATAACTAATTTCTAATAACTGATTTATTTTATCTTTGCCATGATGACAGTAAATAATATTTTACTAGATATTTTTCAAGACACTTCTATACAGCTGACATTTAAAGGCTTAACTAGGTCAACTGGGCAGGTTAGGGTAATTAGGCATAGGCAAGTTGTTGTATAACATTTTTTAGTATACACCTTATATATTTATGTACCAAAAATAATGCCTTTGTTGTGAATACATGCCTAGAGGTACAATTTACACACTGTGGCTTTAAGTTCTGCACAGTAAAAGCAACACTGAATTAGCTTACATACCAAAACAAATGTTTTGTTCAAATAGAGTATATATACTGTACACCTTCATTACTCATTTTGTAGTATAATAATTATTAGATATTTACATGACTGGATTTGGAGGTTTGAATAAAAATACAAACTCACAGCAGTTCGTAACTTTTTGATTTAGTGGCTAATTTTAATTTGTGAGATCTCATTTATAGATTTTAATATGATACATTCATCCCCCAATAAGAGGTGGGGTTTGCCTGCATGACTCCTTTTAAAAATCCTTAATTTTCACATCATTTAAATTGTTTAAATTTGTAAAAAAATAAAAAATAAAAAAAAAAGTCACTTTTCTGACATTACATAAAATAGTCACATGTGCTCATGAGATACATTAAACAGCATAATGGTGTTTAAATCGATGGCTGATGTTCAGCTCCTCAAATGTTTGTCCAGAGCTCTGAGCTGCTTTAGAAAGCCTGAGTTGGGACAGATATCTCTGTTCAGTCTGACAGCGATAATGGCGTCTGTAAGCGTCAGGTTTTCACACATCATGAGGAAGGCCAGGACCAAAGCTCCAGAGCGACTGACTCCCATTGCACAGTGGACCAGCACTTTACCTGCAGAACAGAGAACTTAATCCGCATCTCTGACACTGGCTCGAATTTACATATTTCACTTATTAAAAACGACTGTATCGCCCGCTGCCTCTGCGCCGCTCCATTTATTCTTTTGCTCTGCAGCTTATTCTAGTTTTTGTACAATCGCTGACAAAATTAGTCAGCAAAAGGTCAAAGAAGTCAGACTTGCCATTTGGAGTGAGAGCGGCTTTAATGAAGGATGCAGTGGAGCTGAAATACTGGCTCAAATCAAACTGTGGGTGATCTGCAGCCTCGACTCCACAGTAACTGATACTCATGTCTGAGTAGAACTGAGCGCCTGTGTTGATGCGATGCGCTCCATCGGCACAGTTTACAACATGAGTGATTCCCAGCCCGGCGAGGAGTGCTTTATCACGAGCAGTTGACCTGAAATGAGCAGCTGTTTAACATACGGCTACATCATTTACATGCATTGATTAGGTACGGATAATGAGAAGCTTTGGATTTGGTTACACTAAAAAGGAAGGCTGTTTTGCAGCGATGCCAAAAAAAGCCCTTCAGTGAACAGAGTTTAAAGGGTAAATTCACCCAAAAATGTAAATTCTGTTAATAATTAATCACCAATATGTCAATCCAAACCACTGAGATCAAATTAAGTAAAAACTCAAATTAAGTTATTTTAGATGAAATCGGAGAGGGTGATGCAGTGGGTACCAAGAAGGTCGCTGGTTCGAGCCTCAGCTGGATCAGTTGGCATTTTATGTGTGGAGTTTGCATGTTCTCCCCATGTTTCCTCCGAGTGCTCCATTTTCCCCCTTAAGTCCAGAGACGTGTTATAGATGAATTGGGTATGCTAAATTGTCCATAATGTATGTGTGTGAATAAGAGTGTGCCTGTGTTTCCCAGTGATGGGTTGCAGCTGAAAGTCCAAAGACGTGTTATAGATGAATTGGGTACGCTAAATTGTCCGTAATGTATGTGTGTGAATAAGAGTGTGCCTGTGTTTCCCAGTGATGGGTTGCAGCTGAAAGGGCATCCACTGAGTAAAACATTTGCGGGATAAATTAGCGGTTCATTCCGCTGTTAAGAGACTAAGCCAAAAAGCAATGAATGAATAGATGAAATTAAAAAGCTTTCTCATTCTTTATAGACAGTAACTGCCCTGAGAAAATCTAGAAAAGAAACCAAAAATAATGACAGAACATTTTATGTGACTTCATTGGTTTAACTGTAATCTCATTTAAATCTCCAACATTTTTGTGCACCAAAAAAACTCTAAAATCAACTTTGTTTTCCACTGTCTTCTGCATCAGATCAGTGCTTGTGTTTACTGCAGGCAATATGAGTCTAATGCCAATAAATCATACTTCTTGTAGTAAACACACACCTTGATGATGGAAAAGAAGACAAAGGTAAAAAGTTTTTTTATTTATTTATTTTTTTTTACAATTTTATTTTTGGTGGACAAAACTTCCACCAAAACTTCTTTCTAGAGTTTGTATGATTACAGTTTAACCAAAGAGGTCACATAAAACGTTTTGACAATGTGTTTTTTTTTTTTTTTTTTTCTGGACCATTGCTGTCTATTCCATCCAAAATATCTCAATTTGTGTTCAGTAGATGAGTGAAAGCCTCAGGGAATTGAACATGAGAGCAAGTAACAGAATTAGAAAAAAAGGTTTATTTTTTGTCAAAAAATTTCCACTTTGAAATATCCTTTTTAGAATTACAGTTGAAGTCACAATTTATTAGCCACCCTGAATTATTAATCCCCCGGTTTTTCCCTAATTTCTGTTTAATGGAGAGTAGATTTTTCCAACACATTTCTAAACATAATAGTTTTAATATCTCATTTCTAATAACTGATTTATTTTTATCTTTGTCATGATGACAGTAAATAATATTTTACTAGATAGTTTTTAAGACACTTTTATACAGCTTTAAGTGACATTAAAAGGCTTAACTAGTTTAATTAGGTTAACTAGGCAGGTTAGAGTAATTGGGCAAGTCATTGTATAACGATGTTTTGTTCTGTAGACTATCAAAAAAAAATTGCTTAAAGGGGCTAATAATATTGACCTTAAAATGGTTTAAAAAATGTAACTGCTTTTATTCTAGCCAAAATAAAACAAATAAGACTTTCTCCAGGACAAAACATATATCAGACATACACTGAAAATGTCCTTGATTGCCTGTTGATGTTAAAACTTCCGCCTGTTTGTTTGACAACCTGAATCCTTCATAGATGGACAACCTATATCTTTCCCCAGTTTTGAAAAGAAGTAATTACGTTAAAATCTTAATGGTTATAGACAGATTTTTCAACATATGATAGAAAATTAATAAAAGAGATATATGATTAATATAGGCTTCTTGGCATTGTTTGGAGCCCCCTAATATCCCGGGGCCCTAAACGGCTGCTTACCTCGCTTATTAGTAAAGTCCACCTCTGCTTGTTTGTAAATGTACCCAAAATCTTGTTGTCTTCAGAGTCATCTTTACCGTTGGCTTTCTGCGTAGACCTTTGTATGTCTCGCTGGTTTTATTCTTACATGTGTGAATTTGGGGGCAGAGCTAAACAAGAAGTAGTATTGACCATCTTCTGTAAATACCATCTACTATATGGCTGTTATTTTTCAGACTAATGAGAAATTGTTGTTTAAACGTTTAACTTAAATTAGATTTTTACAGTACAGTGACCTCTTATATGTCATCAAGGGCATTTAGATTTCTCAGTTAATAACCCCTTTAAAAGTGTAGTTGGTCATTCTTCTCAGGGACGGTTCAGTACTTACTCATCTCCGATGAACAGACTGGGCCAGATAAGACTGACTGGTCCAAAAGGCTGTCTGTTTGACCATAGCAGACCCCGCAGATCAGATATAGATGGTGTCTCATACATTGCCTGCAGTGGTTTATCTTTAGGAGCATTTCTGTGAACATAAGTGAAACAAAATCTTTGATATAGACTCAAATTCTGTGTGCCTGCATTAGAGTAGAATGATCAATGCATATTTTGATGGAACAGTTTGTATTTACATATATTTGACCTTTCTGCTTCTGTAATCGCAGACTCCAGTGGGAAATTAGGTGAAAATTAATGGTTGTCCTGATTCAAAACAAAACGCCTCATAACTCCTGAGCTACTGTGTAATTTATTTCAGAGCAGCAAGATAAGAAACATTTTTTTTGCTCTGGAAATTCTCTCATCATCTCATTCTTGTTTGGTCATCATAAATGTCCGTGAGTCACAACGACACCAATTGATTTGAGCAGAAATATGTTGGAGCATATGATACCCATTAGAAACTCACTACAGGGGATCAACCCTTAAGACATGTAGCCATGCATGGCTCTTCCACCTTCCCATGATAAAGAGCAAGCCACAACCATTTCATTTCACTCCAGTAAAAAAAAAAAAAAAACAGACATACTTGCTGGCTCATTTTAAGACAAGTTCAAAGTATGTCTCATCTGGAAGAAATTTAAAAACCTGCCATTTATTTTGCGACCCAGCTGCCCTTTAAAAGTTATTTACTATTTAAGGGGAAACCATTCAGTTTAGCTTCCTAATATCCATTTTGCCCTTGCGACACAATAAATATTAGCAAATAACGTCTGGCCCAGTGGAACAGGGATAAAACCATGAGGGAGAAGGCTCTTTAGGGACGTGCTCTTGAAATGGGATTCATCACATTGTTACCAAGTTTTCAGTTACAATTTGTAAGCTTCCAGTTTTTTCTTCCTCTCTCGGACGAGTCTCATGTCAAGATGTCGGAGCTGGTTAAGAAAGCCAGGGTTAGGGCAGATGTCCCTGTGTTGCCGTACAGCTTTAATGGCCTCCATTAGAGTAAGATCCTCACAGATCATGAGGAAGGCCAACACCAGAGTGGCAGAGCGGCTCACTCCCATCAGACAGTGGACAAACACCCGTCCTAAAGAGCAAAACACAACCAACAAACTACTTTTACAATTGAAATCAGCCAAAAATTATTTTCTTAATTAAAACTTTCAAATTTTTTGCTTTGAATAAGTAATTTGGTTTACATTTCAATCTTGCAATGTAAGACTACTATTTAAGATTAACTCAGATTTCAGCAAAACAGGTTTTATGTTTCAGATGTTGGTTTTGAAACATTTGAACTCTAATGTTTGGTTAACCACTCATGAGCAGTGTCTAATTATATTATATAATGAAAAGGTCAAATTTGTAATGTATAAAAGATATCTATGCACCTTTCGGCTGTGTTCACTTTTACTTTACATTGTTTTGACCAGCAAGTGCAGACTCTAAATCAATACCCAATGTGCGTGAAAATGCAAAGCAGCTCAAGTGCGCAGCAAACTATTTTGTGTGTAATAGACGTCTATTATACATCTAAGAATAGTCCGAATCTAGACTGGTTGTCAAATAGACAGATTAGAAAGATTTTATATGTGTAGTCATTCATTTCTATTATTTCATTCTATATTCATTTATTTCATGCCTAGGCTAGTTTTGGCTTATTCTTAGACGTCTATTAGATTTTCATTGACAGCCTAAATTTAGCCTTGTTTAAGACAAGACGACTATGTTTAGATGTCTATTAAACATATATTAGACATCTATTAAAAACAAAAAAAATGTTTGCTGGCTGTTTTCAACATTCATAATAATCGGAAATGTTTCTTGAGTAGCAAATCAGCATATTAGAATGATTTCTGAAGGATCACGACACTGATAAATGATGAGGAATACACATTTTAAAGTCTATTCACGTCGAAACACCTTTTTTCCACTATTTATTTTTATGTTACAGCCTTTTTGCAAAATAAATTTCAATTAATTTATTTCCTCAAAGTTCTACACACAATACCCCATAATGACAATGTAATAAAGGTTTTTTGAAATTGTTGCAAATTTATTAAAAATAAAAAAGCTGAAAAATCACATGTACAGAAGTATTCACAGCCTTTGCCGTGAAGCTCTAAATTGAGCTCAGGTACATTCTGTTTCCACTGATCATTCTTGAGACATTTCAGCAGCTTAATTGGAGTTCACCTGTGGTAAATTCAGTTGATTGGACTTAATTTGAAAAGGTATACACTTGTCTAAATAAGGTCTCAGGGTTGACAGTGCATGTCAAAGCACAAACCAAGCATGAAGACAAAGGAATCGTCTCGAGGCACAAGGCAGGGGAAGGTTACAGAAAAAATTCTGCTGCTCTGAAAGTTCCAATGAGCACAGTGGGTTCCATCATCCGTAAGTGGAAGATGTTTGGAACCAACAGGACTCTTTCTAGTGCTGGCCGGCCATCTAAGCTGAGTGATCAGGGGTTAAGGGTGTTAGTCAGGGAGGTGAACAAATATCCGATGGTCATTCTGTCTGAGCTTCAGTGTTCTTCTGTGGAGAGAGGAGAACCTTACAAAACGACAACCATCTGTGCAGCAATCAACCAATCAGCAAGTATGGTATAGTGACCAGACGGAAGTCACTCCCCGCCTGGAATTTGCCAAAAGGCATCTGAAAGACTCCCAGACCATAAGAAACTAAAATCTCTAGTCTGATGAGACTAAAATTGAACTCTTTGGAGTGAGTACCAGGCGTTACGTTTGGAAAAAACTAGGCATCGCTCATCACCAGGCTAATACCATCTCTACAGTGAAACACGGCAGCATCATGCAGTGGGGATGTTTTTCAGCAGCAGGAACTGGAAGACTATTCAGGATAGAGGGAAAGATGAATGTAGCAATGCACAGAGACATCCTGAATGAAAACCTGCTTCAGAGTGCTCTTGACCTCAGACTGGGGTGACGGTTGATCTTCCAGCAGGATAATGACCCAAAGCACACTGCCAAAAAACAATGGAGTGGCTTTACAACATCTTTGTGAATATCCTTGAGGGGCCAAGCCAGAGCCCAGACCTAAATTCTATTGAACATTTCTGGAGAGATCTGAAAATGGCTGTACACCGTCGCTTCCCATCCAACCTGATTGAGCTTGAGAGGTACTGCAAAGAGGAATGGGCAAGAATTCCCAAAGACAGGTGTGCCAAGCTTGTGGCATTAAATTTATAAAGACTTGAGGCTGTAATTGCTGCCAAAGGTGCAAATTTACAAGATTTTTCAGGTTTTTTATTTGGAATAAAATTGCAACAATTTCCAAAAACCTTTTTTCACATTTTATAATGGGGTATTGTGTGTAGAGTTTTGAGGAAATAAATACATTTAATCCATTTTGTAACATAAAAAATGTGGGAAAAGTGAAACGCTATGAATACTTTCCGGATGCACAGTATGTGTGCCCAGCAAATAGTTGAATCATGCATTTGAATAGTCTCAAATATGCAATTTCAGAGGCTGTTATGCTTGTTGTCAAATTTTACATATTCAGTCTTAAGACTTTTGGCCCTGATCACCTTCTACATGAAAGAACATTCTGCTGTGTAAGAGATGCAATGGCAAAGAGGAAAATTAACCACAAGGCAAAGGTACAGTTTATATATATACTGTAATTTTGACCTGCCAGTGGTATAGCGTTACAAAAACACTACATCAAGAATGTTCACAGAACTGTTTCCTCCAATTTAACTCACCATTTTTCGACAGTGCAGCTCTTATGAACCTTGCTGTTGCATAGAAAAACCCACTTATGGCAAAGTCAAAGGAATCATCAGCTTCCACTCCGTAGTAATCTATATTCATGTCTCTGTAAAAGCGGGGTCCAGTGTTGACATGAGGCGGTCCACTGGCAGCATTTACAATGTGTGTGATCCCCATATTATACAGCATTGGCTTGTCTCGCGCCGCAACCCTGAGAAAACAAAAACACTGAGAACATCTGTAGATCTGTACATTTTCATTCGATTTCCATTTGAGGAGAAAATATAATACATACTCATTGCCAATGTACACATTAGGCCACACGTGGTTGACATGTCCAGTGGGGCGTCTGTCAGCCAACAGGAAGTTCTGCAGTTCAGCAACGGATGGGGTTTCATAGGCACACAGCTCCTTGAGAGACATCCTAGCCCAAAAGACATTCTTAATTTCACAATTACAGTAATGTCTGGGATATTATCATCATACTAATAATCCTGGAGTGACCAGACATCCCTTTTTTCCCAGTCAGTTGCGTATTTCAGCTGTATTTTTGTGTCCTGACTTTTAAACATTTACCTCAGGAAAGCCTTTTAGTAATATTCATTCATTTTCTTTACAGCTTAGTCCCTTTATTAATCTGGGGTCGCCACAGCGGAATGAACCGTCAACTTATCCAGTATATGTTTTACACAGTGGATGCCCTTCCAACTGCAACCCATCTCTGGGAAACAACCATACACACTCATTTACACTTATAAACTACGACAATTTAGCCTACCCAATTCCCCCAAACCGAATGTCTTTGGACTATGGCAGGAAACGAAGCACCCAGAGGAAACAGAGCTGAGGCTCGAACCAGCGACCTTCTTTCTGTGAGGCGACAGCACTACCTATTGCGCCACTGCGTCGATACCTTTCAGTATCCAAAACTAAATTATATACCTAATACCTAAATTAAATATTACTTAAACAGGAACTAATGATGAGTTAAGATGTACTAATTAGCTTCTCTTGGAGGAGATTTTGAGAAAGTTTGGAGTAGAATTTCTTTTTTATGCAGATGATAGTCAGATCTAAAAAAAGGCAGCTCTTCATTACTTATTCTACTGTCTTGTTCAAATAAAATCACTTTTATTGTCACATCATCGGCAGCACGTGTGCTATGATGAGTGAAAAGCTTGTTTTGACGAGGCCCAACTCTCAGTTACTCTTAAGACTGCGATTATAATTTTGGCCCATCTGATAGAGCTAAGATTAATAATTCCGTCATGGACAATTTGTGTTTGTTTTAATTCAATTTGTATACACTTGTCTTGGTGTCCTTAATGATCGTTGATGCCCCAAGTTTCTTTCTTTACTTTCCAAAAAAAACCATTTTGTCAGAAACATCGGGTGAGACGGTTATCCACTCTTTTAGAACTTTGTGTTGAAATTTGCTGCAGTAAAATTGAGCAAATGTGACCACATCAACCCCATTCTACATGCCCTCCATTGTTTCTCAGTCCTCTTCAGGATTGAGTTTAAAATTCTTTCATTTGTGTTTAAATGTTTACACAATCGTGCTCCAAAATTTGGTCTTCTCCATCCATATAACCTTCTTAGAAGTTTACAATCTTGTAATCTTAACATATTAACATATTTCTTGTTTGAGGCTGAAACGCACAAAGATTTCTTCTCTTTAAAAGGTCACTTGTTTTCCTTGCCTATTGATCTGTTGATTTTCATAGTTGTTTTCATTTGTATGGCCATGCAATCTAAATAAATAAAATGGTGTCTGTGGTGAATTTACAGGCATTATAAAGAGAGTGGTATTTGGAAGCATGTGATTGTGTTGAGGGGACTGATGAAATTTGATGTGTCGTGTATGTTAAAGTTGTTTTACTATATGGCTGTTACCTTGGCCAGGTCTCTATTGAAAAAGAGATTTTAAATGTCAATGAGGCTTCCTGGTCAAATAATGGTAAAATAAATAAATAAAATCGATTGAGCAGCCTATAGTTATTTCTATTTCTGGATTTTGTATTGGTCTTATTTTCTCTTAATGTACAACACTTTGGTCAGTCCTTCTGCTGTTTTGAAAGTGCTTAAAAATATATGTGAAAAGTGTCAATACATTAACACACATGCAGTCAATGTTGTTGTTATTCAGCCATGAATTCAAATAAGTGACTAATGTCATAGTTATAGGTTTAAGACACCCTGGAGTACTTTTTAAAAATTTTTTTAACAGGTTTGTGTGTGTTGAGCATCAGTTAAGACAACGTTAGCACCTGTCAGCTTTAATTGAGGGAAAAACTGAATAATTTTGAGCTTTTTTCAGCTAATTTCGTTTTCTGGGTTTAAAATCTTTTTTGGGGCAGGATCCAAATTTGTGACGTATCACGAATTTCCTAGTGGAGTGATGACGTCGGATTCTCATTATTATTCGTATTGGAGTTTTCTTATTCTATGAGAAGACCCTGCTTTTTAATTAGCTTTCCGAAGGCAAGGCAGACCTGCCAAGCACAAATGACTGGGAAGACCGCGTCAATGCACAGCCCGGGTCGTATATGTTTTTTTCCATGATCCAAAGGGTTTTGTTGCATGTTTCGATACAGCAAAGCTGTTGGATTGCAGCACGCATTTTAGTCAGGAGAGCTGTACGAGAATTGGAGAATGGCAGACTTTGTCTTTATCAGTTGAGTTTGTTATCATTCAGACACATCGCCTATATCTGTGCTGCTGTGTTCCTCATATGTTTAAAATCCTCCAGATTACCGCCAGGGCTAATGGTTGGATTCGACAGGGCAAGAGAACTGCTGTACTGCTCCACTGTGTCTGCATATATACCCTAGGATTCAGGAGGAGAGAAGTCCTCCTCATTTATAGTGTTCATATAAACACGATTGTGTTTATAATGATATAACTAATTGTGATTATGTGTATATGAAATTACAAAAACAAATGTGGCAGAGCATTAAATTACTTACTGTTTATTTCTTTGCATTTTAACTGTTTAAACTATAAAATCATGGTCTCCTCACGGTTTGTGTCTCAGTCGTTCGTTACTCTTTTTCCCCTGCTCTGCCGAACACGCCCACTCCTCCCTCTGCTCGCAGTGCTCCATCTCTGAGCATTTTTTTTTTAATTCTGAGGTAGACTTGAATTGAAAGAGGGGGGTTTCATGACCCTTTAAGGTTTGCTATTTATCAGTACATGCCATACTTTATCATTAGTTTATTAATTTTCCTTTAGGCATATCAAGGGTTGCCACAGCGGAATGAATTACCAACTTATCCAGCATATGTTTTACACAGTGGATGCTCTTCCAGCTGTAACCATTTTTTTATATCAACTTAAATTTCAGTTTATGAGACCACCAAAAAGGGTCTCATAAACTGATTGGTCTCATAATGCTGGTGGGTAAACCTGAAAATTGGTTCCATAAACCACATATGCCAACACACACACACTACGGCCAATTTAGTTTATATAATTCACCAATAGCCCATGTCTTTTGACTGTGGGGTAAAACCGGACCACACAGAGGAAACCCGGAGGAAACTCCGGTAAACACGGAGAGAACATGTAAACTACACAGAAATGCCAACTGACCCAGCCAGGGCTCAAACCAGCAACCTTCTTGCTGTGAAGTGACACTGAGCCACCATGCCACCCCATTATTAGTTCAAATTAGAGTAATTTTATTTAAAGTCAATTATTATTCATGTACACTGAAAAAAATCATCCAGAGATGATTCTTTGGATTTACTCAATTTTCTTTTTTTACGTTTAGTGGTTGTAAACAATTAATTTGTGCTGAATTTAAACAAACAAATTAAGTTGACCATTAATAAACTTATTTTTGTTTGTTTAAATTCAAAACAAATAAATTGTTTGCAACAGTTCAGTAGATTCAGTAGTTTTCAGTAGACTTATTGTGAACTGCTACTGAACAAAATACATGCTGTGTACATATTCATTTATTTTACTCGACTAGTTGTTGTTGATGTCTCATTTATTGAACAGTGTTTACCGTGTTTGAATAAATCTGTCATGAAGATGATTATTTATGATAGATGGCCACAAAAGATTTAATGTGTGTAGTGGGTGGTGTTGTTGCTATCCATCCCGTATAACACGCTGGGAAAGAAAATCCGCTCACTCTAAATAGGCCTGACATGCAGTTTAGATGCATTCTCCATTCCTCTTTATTTGCAACAGCCCATCAAACTAGCTGAGCCCACCTGAGACCATTGCTGGTGAAATCTTTTTGTTGCTAAGAGGCAGAGAGCGCACTGACACTCCACTTCAGCTCTTAACATCATTAAAATGAATACCGAGGGCTTTTTATGGAATATCATTCCACTTAGGATTCCTTGACTGTTGTGGCGAATGTGTTTACAACTCAGGTGTGGGAAAGAAAGCGCACCATGCCAGAGCCATGAGCGATTAGGTTAGCCAGCTCTCCAAAAACACCCCAATGTTACTTTCTAAAAGCCTTTAAGAAAAAAAAATCTCGCCTCCTTTTGTGAACTTACATTTTGCAGCCGGTGGCCCTTTTCTTCCTCTCGTTCTCAGATTGCCTGCTCTTCTCTCCTTGGTCAGGGACGTTGTCGACAGCCAGTCCACAGATATGTCTCTGGAGGCTGTTGCTTTTTTTAAATGGTGTATAATTATAAACTTCCCTGGATACAAAGAGCTCTTCCAGGTTTTAGTGGGCAGTCAGTCAGGTTTGCTTTCAGAAGACTGTCTTTCCCTCGACAATGATCTTCCGAGCATGTTCTGCGCATATTGTGTGTATCTTGGCTAGACTCCCGATATTGTAAATCAGTCTCGCAGTGCAGACGAAGGTAAAGGTGGGTCATCAGCGGCTTTCATTGCACACATACATCTTTATCATGAGTCACTGTACAGGGAAATACAGTACATATCATCTCACGAGGTCTCGCCAGCTGCTAGGTTAAACACTCTTGAAATCCAGATGTTCCTTTCATTCGCCTGGAGGGCCAGTCTTTGATAAATGGTGAGATCTTTGCACATGCAAGTGCAGTGACACGTTGGGCAATTGGAGCGTGTCTGATGCTCTTCTCCAAGATAGGCTGTCTTCTTTGCACTCCAGCTGAAACTGTTTAGCTAGTGCTCAAAGCTTCAGTAAATTAGGCTCTATGTGTAAAACAGGGAAAGACTTAACTAAGAGTTGTTCTTTCCATGCCGGTAAAATAAGCTTTGAGCTCCGTAGTAATTACGGTTTTATGAAGCTAATAAAAAGGAATTAATGGCTTGGGTGTGAAAGCCGCATACACCTGTTCCTTCTCAAGAAATGCTTATTACTTAGTGTTATTAAAACCTCATACTGTATACGAGAGAAGCACAAAACAGCAAGTATGTTTTGAGGATTTTTTGTTTTGTTTCTGTCTTTCTTTTCTTGTCTCGGTGAAGGAAAAAAGATACTGCAGTGCACAGTGACTAAGCTTGGCTTTCTTTAATCTGTAGTTGGAAATTCAGTGTATGTAATTTGTATTAAGTGGTCCAGAGTTGCCAATTTGAAATTGCAGTGTTTGATCCAATCCATGAATCATTCGGCCTGCTTTTCTTTTGTGGTTTTAAAAGTCATGGAGATTTCATGGAGTAAATAGTCATGCCGTAACATATTCTACCATTTAAACCTAAGATTTTAAATAGCCTACTTTTATTCAGAAATAATGCATTAAAAATGTAAAGTAACCATAGATTTTTATTCTGTTACAAAAACAGTGATTATTACGATACCTACTGTTACTCCAGGCTTGCTTTGCACTTAAGTAGCCAAAATATGATACTTTTAAATTATTTTTTATCCACCACACACTCACCGGCCACTTTGTTAGGTACACCTGTCCAACTGCTCAACACAAATGTCTAATTAGCCAATCACTTGGCAGAAACTCAATGTATTTAGGCATGTAGACATGGTCGAGGCGATCTGCTGCAGTTCAAACCAAGCATCAGAATGGGGAAGAAAAGTGATTTAAATCACTTTGAATGTGGCATGGTTGTTGGTGCCAGACGGCTGGTCTGAGTATTTCAGAAACTGCTGATCTACTGTGATCGACTGGGACTACTGGGATCTTTAGGGTTTACAGAAAATGGTATGAAAAACAACATGTCTAACCATGAGGCAGATGGGCAACAGGAGCAGAAGACCACACCAGGTGCCATTCCTGTCAGCTAAGAACAGAAAACTGAGGCTACAATTCATACAGGCTCACCATAATTATATAATAGAAGATTGGAAAAAAGTTGTCTGGTCTGATGAGTCTGGTGTAATTATGTGGGGGATATTTTCATAGCACACTTTTGGCCCATTACTAACTGAGCATTGTGTCAACACCACAGCCTACCTGAGTATTGTTGCTGACTAAGTCCATCTCTTTATGATCACTGTGGACCCATCTTCTGATGGCTACTTCCAGCAGGATAATGCACCATGTCATACAGTGTGAATCATCTCAGACAGTTTTCTTGAACTCAAATGGCCTCCACCATCACCAGATCTCAATCCAGTAGAGCGCCTTTGGGATGTGAAGGAACAGAAGATTCACATCATGGATGTGCAGCCAAAAAATCTGCAACAACTGCGTGATGCTATCATGTCAATATGGACCAAAATCTCTGAGGAATATTTCCAATACCTTGTGAAACCTATGCCGAGAAGGATTAAGTCAGTTCTGAAGGCAAAAGCGGGTCCTACCTGGTACTAGTCAGTGTACCTAATAAAGTGGCCAGTGAGTGTATAAATGCACAATCATTAGAAATATTTACCATAGGTAAAATTTTAACTTTTATTTAAAATAGTTGATGAATAGTTCACTTAGTAAAACTGATTTATAGCAATAGTTTGAGCTGATATATGTTAATGAATCAAACTTAACACAGATTTTTACATAAATCAGGTTTGCTAACTTATTTTCTCTTACCAGCACGTGTGGATATATTTCTTTAAAGCATATTGTTTAGGCCATGATATGTGTCTGTCAGCTGATGTTAGTTTGTTCTTTTTATCCACGATATCTTAGTCTTGACAGTCTTCCCTGAGAAAACACTGACACAATGTAATCACGTACAGATGCATCTGCTTTCCAGAGCTCTTATGTGACACTAATGTGGTCTTCAGCTTCACCCCCTCCGAGCCTCTGCTTCCTCCAGTCAAATCAGGAGATGACTGAGCTTAGCCCAAAATATATACACACACACTTGGCTGAGCAGCTCGCGCCTGTTCCCCGTTCCTCTTCTCAATGATTTATCATCGTACAGTGTAAGCCAAGCAGCTAATCAGGAAGCAAAGCAGTGTCTTAATTGAATGTTCTCTGAAAGCGATGTGTGTCCGGGGATTCGAGCGGGTCCTGCTTCCTCCGCTCGCGCAGCTGCAGGTCACACTGTCCGGGTGAAAACACTGGAGAATCAGCCTCTCTTCTCCAGGGTTAACACCGATCAGTTATATTGTGTGACTCAAGAACATCTGCAAGATGCAATGTCACTGACAAGTGATAAGGGACTGTTAATTATCTTTGATCAATATATCTGTAATAATGTGGTTAATCAATAAAAGATTTTACATTGATATTAGTTAATGTCGCATATGAAGAATATCAAATACAAATAAAGAGGAAAATATCAGCCTACTGGATGACACTCGGCAAAAAAAGAACCAAGATTTTTGTATACCTGACACCATTGCTAGCTTAAAAGCCTTTTTAGTTTGTGCCTGCAAAACTTTTAATGGCACACCACTGCACTCTGCTGGAAAGACTGAGAATCACATAGGAGTAAATGTACAGTTGTTGCATTACGGTTGATGAGTAATGGTATATCCAAAATATTAGAAATGAGATGTATATTTTTGATAATATAAAACTTCTAATAGCATCCCAGCTAACATTCCTAAATTCCTATGTTCTATATTTTGTAGTTTTAGTTTACCGTCATTTTCTGTTGGTTAGCCCAGAAAGATTGCTTTGAAAATAGAATGTTCCCATTACATACAAGTTATTATAAAACATCATTGCAATGTTCTTGGAAGTTTAGTTTTTGGTTACCAATAAAATAGCCAGAAAATGTATTCTGAGAAAATAACCAAATAGGAACCACATGCAAACCATATAGGGAAAGTTAATAGATCCAGTCCATCTTCAATGAAAGTTATTTGAAACATTGTCTAAAAAGTTGTAATGACAATTTTATATGACAAGCCATGTACTTAATACTTTTTTCCTCAGGGTTTTTGAAATGTTTTTGCTTACAAATGGGGGTGGGGTGGTTAAAACTGATGGTTGTAATCTCAGTAAAATGTACAGAGTACTACATTAGCAGAAAGGGCATATGCTGATATATATATATATATATATATATATATATATATATATATATATATATATATATATATATATATATATATATATATATGTATGTATATATATATATATATATATATATATATATATATATATATACACACCAGAGTAATTGGCGGTGTTGTTAAAATTATCCTATTTACAAAAGCAGCAAAACTGAGTAAAAGTTCTATTCAGGCCTCTCCAGTTATTTGTGATGCCACTTTGTAAAGAAATACCCACCATGGTTGTTTTGGTTGTGAATGCAAATAATAAACTGAACATGTTATATGCATGCACACAACATCTTAAAAAATTCACTTTTTTTTTTTTTTTTTGTAGTGTACACAAACCACTTTAAAAAAAAAACTTGCTCCAAGATTATTGGTTTGCCTGTGCAGAGTCTAGCCGAGTTACATGAACAGCAAATGTTAAGAAAAACTCAAAGTGTGATAGGAGATGATTCCCATCCTCTGAAGCCTTTTTTGTTCTGCTGCCCTCTGGAAGACAGTTTAGAAACATTAAATGCTTTTCTAACAGATACAAATTCACCTTTGTTCCTGAGGAAATAAGGCTTTACAACCTTACATTTTAGCAAGATTTTACTTTTTTATATATGGGTCCTCCCTATGTTTTTTAGTACTATTTATGAAGTTATTATAAAGCATGCTGGATTGTGTGTTTTTAATATTGTTTGTAAGTGATTTGTCTCTGTGTTTGTTGTATCATGAAATGCTGCTGCCCTAATTTAATTGCCCCTGATGGGATTATTCATTCATTTTCTTTTCGGCTTAGTCCCTTTATTAATCCGGGGTCACCACAGCGGAATGAACCTGGTGGGATAAATAAAGTTTTTAAACTAAACTTAATAACTTTCAAAGACTTGCACTTTAAATGTTTTTATTTTTATTTTAAGTTTGCATTTTCTTGCCCTCAACATGTCATTGTTGTGTAAATAAATGGCTCAAAATAAATTTAAGCTGAAATCCTATAAACACTTATTAAATTGCTTATATATGTAAGTTGCAATTAAAAAGTAAGCATTGACAAAATGTAAGAAAATGCAATAATAATAATAATATGAAGAAAAATGTTAAATGCTTATCCCAAAGCACTATCACATTTATTTTATTTAAATGAACACAGATGAATATTAACTTTATTTGGCACCTTGTTTGTATGAAACATCCATATATCAGTCGTTATACTTCAGAAATACATACAAATTCAGACATAACTAACAGTGTAACAAATTCAATATTCATCCTGCTCATAGCTGAAAGAGTCAAATGTGCAATTAAATGTTGTAACTATACAGCGCTTTTGGAAAAACTGTTTACACTCCATTAATGTTCTCTAAGATAACAAAGGAACGTCTGTGAATCAATGAGCTGAATGAAACATTATTCTACTGTTAAAACAAAAAGGTGCACTAAAAACACATCAACGAGTGCTGCTCAGTCATTTAAACAAGGCTGTTAGGATTGAGTCAACAGAAGAGTGTTGTGCTTGGCCCATAGATTCCTCCAATTTTGGCTGCCAAAAGCAACGTAAAAGCTCATACAGCTCACAGTCAGGCTTTTCTCTGTAGCTGAATAATAAACCACAATTCAATCATTTAATACTGCTTAATTTAGTGCACTGTGCTGAATACTGACTCCATAGTTAAATGTCATTTTAAATGTGAGGATCATGTGGCACTTGTGTGCTGTTCATAAAGCTGCATCTTGAATATATCATATAAAGATTCATAAAAATCATCATTCTCAAATTTACAAGACATTGTACAGAAAAATCTGTTTAAATGGCAATGCAAGAAGGACAAATGTTAAATATTGTTTCAGTTAAAAGCAAAGCCACTTATTCAATATTAAAAAGTGTTTTATAGCTAAATTATAGCAAATATTAAAATTAACCCTGTAAATCTATGGAAAAGTACAAAGATGGTCTATACAGCAACATACACTAAACCCCAAAGGCACCAGTTTTACTATGAAACAATATAGGCTATATACTGTACACTTATCGTAAATAATGTAAACATACCAACGATGGCTAACTCTTCATCCTCTAGTTATATAAAATGAATGCACAGGCATTAGTGTGCTCATGGCATCTGTGTTTTTCTGTCAGAGAATAGGGCACAGCATTCGCTTTCTCTGTAGCTGAATGTCCAAATCCAGGAGAAGGCTCAAAAAGTTCCTGTTGGGATAGATGGCACGTCGCAGTACGACTGTTTGGATGGCAGTGCGCAGGGTAAGACGCTGACGCAGCATAAGGTATGCTAGAACCAGAGTTGCAGATCGACTCATTCCCATGATGCAGTGAACAAGCACCTTTCCTACACATAAAAGACACAGACTGTAATTACCAATAGAGATCAGCAACCATTTGGTTACCCATACTCTTCAAAATATCTTTTTATATTCCAACATTTTTAAAAAATGGAACAAACTAGAGTTAATGGCAAGAGTATTTTCAATTATTATCTAAACTTTTAGATATATATTTAATTAATCTCTGATGCCTACACAGAATGTATGGGATGCGCATATTAATGAGCTCTTTATTTTAGCTGGAAGGATTGAGCTATCTTTATGCCACCCGAGTAACATATATGTATACTATAGTATGCTTCTAAGTTGTGTTGTCAAACATGGCTGCCTGTTTTACAAAACTGCCTCTTAACCAATCTTTAAAACTTGTTGTGTTTTCAAAATAAGAGTACCACGTACATAGTAAGTATAATACAAGCTTAGAGAATCCTGAACATAAGGGAAATAAATATATATGTAATTGTTGTAATCTCACTATTGTAGCCAATCAAACAATGCCTTCAGCGTGCATATTAATGATCCCACATGAAACATTACAGTTGCCATTTTGTTCCAATTGGCTTGTTTTTTACTGGAATTTACTCATGGGATTTATTACGTTATGTTATTTCATTGTAACAATGAATGGTTTAGATTATATATAAAATGTATTTTGTTGTCATGTCTGCAATTTACTATGTGAAAAAGTAATAGAAATACTTTACTTCTACCTTTATTAACTTTCTACAATATGAGGGTGTGTTCACACTTGACATATATTGTTCAATTAGCACTAACTCTGGTGCAAATGCTTTTAGTGCAGTTCATTAAATGTGAATCAAATTGGTCTCAGTCCACTTCTAAATGAAATCTAGAGCAGTTCAACTGGAATGTGAACGAAACACGGACAAGAGACATCTGAAACAGCTAAAAACAGGACATGATGTCATAAGATGCTATCATAAAAGGAACAGAACACCATTTTACTTGTCAAATTTGCGATGTTGATATTTATTTGCTTAGCCTATAGTTGAAGAATTTACAGTGCTCTTGCACATTTGTAAGCATCATAACATGTATGCACACACAACAAGTGTTTAGCCCAGCGCACGGCATTGTTTTGGATGTTTAGTAACCTCAGTTGCAAAAGGTTAGGATGTAAAAATGACAGTGTACCAGGAAGCAGAAATATACAGTTGAAGTCACATTTATTAGCCCCTCTGTGATTTTTTTTCCTTTTGACATATTTTCCAAAAGATGTTTAACAGAGCAAGGAAATTGTCACGGTATGTGTGATAATATTTTTTTCTTCTGGAAAAAGACTTAATTAAAAAAAAAAAACATTTTTGTCAATATTATTAGCCCCTTTAAGCCATATATTTTTTAATTAGTCTACAGAATAAACCATCATATGCAATAATGTGGGGGTGTGTCCTAGTGAAGTCTTTAAATGTCACTATAAGCTGTATAGAAATGTCTTGAAAATATATAGTAAAATGTTATGTACTGTCATTATGGCAAAGATAAAATAAATCAGTTATTAGAAAAAAGTTGTTAAACTATCGTGTCTAAAAATCTTCTTCAGTTAAACAGAAATTGGGGAAAAAATAAACAGGGGGCTAATAATTCTGACTATAACTGTATATATGTATTTGGTCCAGATTAAAATACAAGTGCAAACACATCTTTAGTTTCAAAAGTGGATTATAACAGTCTTCCGCTTGTTTGTTTGTTTTGCATTACAGTAGTATCACTAACAATGAACACTTACCGTTCTTCTTCCTCAAGGCTTTGTGGATGAAATCAGAAGCTGTTTTAAAGTACACACTAAGATCAAATGATGAAGAGTCCTCTGCTGGGATGCCATAATATACAATTGAATTGCCATAATAACTCTGGTCCCCGATGCTGCCTTGCTTGGAATGAGCAGCGTTTAAAACGTGAGTGATTCCCATTTTCTTCAAAGCATTTCTATTTTGAGCAATGGCCCTATGAGAGAAAGACAAAGATGTGTTATGTAATTTATTAGGGCAACCACTATGGCAGTCATGTAAAGTCATTTTACTGCAAAAACATTTCACTTGTAATATGATTGAAGTGAATATAGCCTAAGTGACTTATTTAAACAAATAGATTCTCAAATCCCTTTTTAACAAATGGTGTTAGCCAAAACCACATAGATTTATGGCTAATATCGTTAAATAAGCGTCAGTTGAATAGCCTGAATCAGTGCATGACTGAGTAATTTATAGCCTGTACTTACACGTTTCCGATGAACAGGTTTGGCCAGACCTCGTCGACTGGAGTTAGGTCAAGTTTACATGTGTCCAGAACATTCTCCAACTCTTTAATAGGCAGGAGACCGTGCTTGTTTTTCTGAGCTGTCATTGTGCCGAATTGACCCAGATCCGAGTATTATGCCAGTGAAGATGTGTTTCTGCTGTTTTCCCGGGGGCTCAGCATACATAACCCGTTTGGCACGTCGTGATCCACACAAACAGGTGCTCTTTATGACGCTGCTCGGTTACCCGATACCGCTGAGCATCTCAGAGCTGCGCTGATGATGGACGTCTGTGCGCTCAAAAACGGCGAGTAACCGTTTCAATGCCGCACTGTGTTTGTCTCCTCCAGGGGGCGCATGGTGGCTCTAGAAGTCTCTAAATAAAGAATTCCCACGCGAGAATATAGAATATATTGAACACGTGAATTTCAAGGCATGGTATCTGACATGCAAATAAGAGGAAATTATTGTGCATTTCTAAATGAAGTGAATTATCCAAAAGGGTTTGATAGGCCAATCTTTACTAGAGTGGAAAAAGTAGCCTATTTGTATTAGCCTACACTGCACTAAACTTTAATAATGACAAAGAAAACTTAATTGACACTGCATCAAGTGTTCATATCTGATGATAAGTTACAGTATGGCAAGTTAGATTAAAGTTCTTAGAGTTAGGCCTACTCATCCCACATCATAAGACATTAATATTAGGCACACATCATAAGACATTAATATTAGGTAAGATTTAGATCATGACGTCAGGCGTCTAAGGACAACATTATTTTGACGTCCAATAACACGTCAAATTACATTGATATTTGATTGATTTAGGTTGTGTTGGAAAGTGACCAAAATCCAACATCTGACAGACATCATAGTGGTAACTTCCACACAACGTCAAGGTGTAACATGATTAGACATGGATATTTGGTTGATTTTAAGTTGATTTTAGGTTAGACGTTGGCCTGACGTTGGGTTCTGACGTCAACCCGTTTTTCATTCCAAACAAAATCCAACATCCCCACGATGTTGGGGTACAACGTCAATATGACATCATGTTGACAACCTGTGCCTGCAGGAATGACACACATGTACTACCAGCAGAATTATAGAGCACTCTATTTCTTACTTACATGTATAATTAACCGGAAGTATAAAGTTTAATTCAATTCTTACTAGAAATGTTTGTGGTCTCTAATTCAATTACCAATTGCAATTAAAAAGCCTTTTAATTCAATTATTAACCTTTCACACAGTATAAGATAGGTGCAATTACCTAGCTTATGTTTTATATATAATCTAAAAGTTGAATAAATAAGCTTTCCATTGGTGTAGCGTCTGTTTGGACAGCACAAATTTGGGAGAGGTACAACTATATGAATATCTGGAATCTGTTCAAAAAAAATTAAAACGTTGTGAAAAGCACGCCTGTAGTTTTTAGGAACACATATTGTTAATCAAAAATTATGTTTACATTACAGTAGGAATTTATAAAATATCATCATGGAACATGATCTTTGCTTTATATTTTAATGATTTTTGGCATAAAAGAAAATGACTCTGACCCTTTTTTTTTTTTGATTAGATTCAACTTTATTGTCATTACACATGTACAAGTACAATGCAATGAAATGCAGTTTAGGTCTGACCAGCAGTGCAATAGCAGCAAGTGCAGGATACAGGTAAAAGATATAAAGTGCAGTTCTAGGATAAACTATTGTGATATTTACCAAAAGATATTTACCATTTACAATAACATTTTGTTGTCCACAAATGTGACTATTGAATTTAACTTTGACATGCAGCCAGAACCACAATTCAATTATAAATTCAGTTTTTACTTGTTACACAATTGCAGTGCTCTTCAGTTAAATTTACAGTTAAGTTACAATTAAGTAAGAATTAAATTAGAAAACTGATAAATGAATTTGTCGGTGTCACTAGTAAGAATGCAATTACTATGGGTAATGCTGAGAATATTAAAAGCTATCTCAGCTTGACACATACTAAGCCACTAATCCCTGTCTATTTTGAGATATGTTTCAGACCGTTCTAGTTTATTCCATTTCTATGGCAGGACATTGTGGTCTGTTCACAAGTGACACTAGGAGATGATTCATCTGATGACGAGAGAACAGGACAATAAAGGACAATTGTGTTAAGTGGACATTTGGAGTATTGTACTTTGAAGAAGGGTGAAACAAAGAAGGGAAACAACAATGTCTGATGATAAGCTTAGTTTAAATACATTTGCATATGCTATTTTATTTCAGTTCAAGATTCAAATCCTTGAAAGATTCACTACATTTACATTTAGTTATCTAGCAGATGCTTTTGTAAGGAACTTATAATTGAGGAAGCATTCAGTGATTCAAAAAAAAAAAAAAGGAAATACACACAAAAAGTGCTAATTATAGGAACAGTATGTGCTCATAAAAGTGCTAGAGTGAAGAGGGGAGTGTTTTTCTCATCTTACGGAGTGAGAAGATTGTTTCTACAGGTGGTTTGTAAAGCCCACTCACCTTAAAACACACTTCACAAAACATTTTTGTGCGTGATTGTAGGAAAGAAGGATTCAACTTAAAACTCCAATTTTGTTCAAGGCAAAGTTGAGTAAAATCCAATAATATCTTATTCTTTGCAAAGAATACTTTTAAACACTTTTCAAAAATCTTATCTTCTGTTCTAATTATGTGTGACGTGGCTGGGGTGAGAATTAACACCTCCAAGTCCGAGGCCATGGTGCTCCACTGGAAAAAGTTGGTTTGCCATCTCCAAGTTGAAGGAAAGTCCTTACCCCAGGTGGAGGAGTTCAAGTATCTTGGGGTTTTGTTTATGAGCGAGGGAAGGATGGAGCGTGAGATTGACAGGCGGATTGATGCAGCTGCAGCAGTAATGTGGTCAATTTCCCGGTCCATTGTGGTAAAGAAGAAGCTGAGCCGAAAGGCAAAGCTCTCGATTTACCGGTCAATCTATGTTCCTACTGTCACCTATGGTCATCAGCTTGGGGTCATGACTGAATGGACAAGATCTCAGATACAAGCAGCCGAAATGAATGTCCTTCGCTGGGTGGCAGGGTGCACCCTTATAGATAGGGTGAGGAGCTCTGTCACCCAGGAGGAGCTCGGAGTAGAGCCGCTGCTCCTCCACATCGAGAGAAGTCAGCTGAAGAGGCTCAGCATCTGTTTCGGATGCCTCCTGGATGCCTACAGGGAGGTGTTCCAGGCATGTCCCACTGGGAGGAGGCCTCTGGGAAATCCCAGGACATGCTGGAAGGACTATGTCCTCGGCTGGCGTGGGAACACCTCGCCAGGAGCTGAAGGAAGTATCTGGGGAGAGGGAAGTCTGAGGTTCTTGATTGCTGCCCTTGCGACCCGGCCCCGGAAAAGCAGATGAAAATGAATGACTGTAATAAAATTAGGTGACACAGTGGCTCTGTGGTTAGCACTGTCACCTCACAGCAAAAAAGGTCACTGGTTTGAGCCCCTGCTGGACCAGTTGGCATTTTTGTATGGAGTGTGCATGTTCTCCCCGAGTTCACTCCGGTTTCCCCCACAGTCCAAACACATGCAGTATAGGTAAATTGAATATACTAAATTGGCCGTAGTGTATGGGTGTATCTGAGTGTGTATGGGTGTTTCCCTTTACTAAGTTGCAGCTGAAAGGGCATTCGCTGTGTAAAGCATATGCTGGATAAGTTGCCGGTTCATTCATGTATTTAATTAACAGGTTTATAAACTGTACACTTCTCTAGTTAAATCTAGTTACTGGTGCCTTGTAGTTTTAATTCATTGTCAAGAGTTATTAACTGTTTCAGAAATCCTCGGTTTGGGAAAATCCATCTTCTTTCTTTCACTTTCAAGATGGCATCCACAAGAGAGAAATTGCAATAAATCATTAGGTAAGCTAGGACCAGAGCAGCTGAACGGCTCATCCCCACAGCACAATGCACAAAAACTTTAGCTGTTGAAAAGAAAATACTTGAAGCAATGACAGCAATAATGAATCCAATTAGGGCTGATTAAAAAAATAACTTGAGTTTTACATACCGCCTGTTGTGCTGAGCGCATCATGAATGTACTGTGCAGACGGGTAGAAGAAAGGTGAAATATCAAATGTTGGCAAATCATTGGCTGGCACACCATAATACTTCACGGTTGTCCCATAATAATCATCATTTCCTTTGCAACACATTTTACCATGTGCAGCATTTAAAACATGTGTGACACCTAGGCTCCACAGGCCATATCTGTCGTGAGACATGTACCTGTTTAAGAAAGAACGACATAATAAACATGCTAACTCTTTCTTTTAATCATCTATATATAAAAGTCCTACTTACATGTCTCCCAGGAACAAATTAGGCCACACTTCATCGACGTGGTTACAAGACAACTGACCCCCATGTAATATACCCTCCAGCTCTTCAATAGTGGGAGATTTATGCAAAACGTTGTCCAATATTTGATCAGTATCCTCCATTTCTAAGAATAGGAGAAGATTGGGGGAAAGTACTAGTTGAGTAAGCTAGATGAGTGACATTTCCAGGTGTAACCCTGTTGCATTACCCTATTTACACCAATAGATGTCAGTGTTTGGTCAATGATTCAAAATTGAACATCTCCCATACAGTGTGTGTGACAGGAGCAATTAGCTGGGTAAATTTCTTATGAATTGTAGTCAGATACTGTAGGACAGTCTTGTACCGTTTTGAGAGATACGTTAGGTTAGGTTAGGTTAGGTTAGGTTAGGTTAGGTTAGGTTAGGTTAGGTTAGGTTAGGTTAGGTTAGGTTACTTCATTTATACCCAAAGATGGAGTCGGTCTGAGATTGCATCGCATCCTGCATCCAGACTCTGTTGGTCAAGAGTCCTCATTTCATAACAGTGCCACACAAAAAAACTCACAGTGACAACGACAAATGGACATAAAAACATACACATGCAAAACACTATCTTCCAAATAAAAAAAATAAAATAAAACAATAATGAATGAATAAATAATCCCTTAAAGTATTGTCTATGCCTTAGTTTACTGTCTAATCGCTACTGGTATGAAACAATTTTTATACCGTTTACTAACACAGCTTGATACTAAACACCGATGAAAACCAAAGGAAGGGGTTGAGCAGTGTCACTTAAAAATGAAATTTGCAATTCTCTTAATTTGATGTAATGTGTGTATTTTTATAGCGCATTTATCATGTATAGCCAAACACCCAAAGCGCTTCACAATCATGAGGGGGGGGGTCTCTCCACACCACCACCAGTGTGTAGCATCCACTTGGATGATATGACGGCAGCCACAAGACAATATGGCGCTCACCACACACCAGCTTTAGGGGGAGTGGAGATACAATGATAAAGCCAAATCAGCAGATGGGGATGATTAGGAGTCCATGATGGGTAAGGGTCAATGGAGGAAATATGGCCAGGACATCGGGGTTACACTCCTACTCTTTACAAGAAGTGCCATGGGATTCTTAATGACCACAGAGAGTCAGGACCTCGGTGCTGACTGACAGTATAGTGTTCCCTTCCCTATACTAGGGCATTAGGACTCACACAGACCAAAGGTTAAGCGCTCCCTGCTGACCTCACTAACAGCCCTTTCAACAGCAACCTAGTTTTCTCATGTGGTCTCTCATCCAGGTGCTGACCAGGCTCAGCCCTGCTCAGCTTCAGTGAGTAAACGATCTTGGGCTGCAGGGTAATATGACCTTGGATATTAGCTGCCTTTAGCTTACTAGACCCCTTAACTATCTGATTTAGTGTGTTTTTATTCTTAACAGAAAGGTTCCCAAACCATGACACCAAAGTAAAAGATAAAACGGACTGAAGAAAAGCAAGGTAAAATAAAATCATCATGTGTTTATCAATAGGGAAAGGATTCAACTTTCTCAAACAGAATTGTTATTGGTGCCCCTTTTTACACACTGCTTCACAATTCTCATCAAAGGTGAATTTAGAGTCAATAATTGTGCCTAGGTGATTGCACACTTTCAACAGTCTGATTTTAAATGAAAGAGTGAGCAGCCTTCCTAAAATTGATTATCATATCTTTTGTCTTTCAAGAGTTCACACTTAGCTGATGATTGATAATAAAGCTAGTTTAGCGTAGTATCCTCGAGCCCTGGGCTCCCTCCCGTTGCAAGGCGAGAGGGGAGTTTGAGCTCAGGTAAATCTCGATGACTCCCCCTCTTGCTTACTGTAGCTAAGTGTCAGATATAGATGCTGAAAGGTGTACTCAGAGTTTAGCTAAAAATTTTATATTAGCTGTTTAGAGTGCTTGTTTTTGAACTGTGGGAGGAAACTGGAGGAACCGGGGAAAACCCTCGTGACCACAGGGAGAACGAGCAAACTCCGCACAGAAATGCCGTCTGGTTTGGAAAGGAATTAAACCAGAGGCATTCTTGCTGTGAGGCAACAGCGCTAATCGCTGCCCACCGTGACGCCCGTTTGAAAGGAGGGAAAGTAGGGTTTTCTTCAAGACGAAGATATTGAGATGAGAATAGTCTGGTAATTTTTAGTGAGTTAAGGAGCGTCTGATAGGATAATCAGTCATTAGCTAAAGTTGGAACAGCTGTGAACAATTATAAGCACGTGATCCTCTCAAAATTTGTTTATAAATAAACTTCACTTAATACATTTAACTGAAGGTATGAGTCCTCACATCGTCTGACTAAACCAGTAAGTACTGGACCATGACCTGTTTTATTATCATAAAGTTGGCTGACAATGACAGTGTCAGAATATTTGAAGAAAGTAAGAATATTCGAGTCTTTATGATCAACAAGGGCCTTAACACCTTCGGTACTGCTAATACTTCAAAATACAGTAATTTACCTTCCTGTTAGTTTTTGCTGATATAAAACTGAATAAAACAAAGTAATGCATTATGAGTTTAAAACCTTCGCTTTAGACATGGAGAAAACAGCAACATTACAAAAAAGTTATTAAAAAACATAAAATTCACACTATCACTGCTATATAAAACATTGACTTCTGTTGCAGAATCTGTGCATGATTCTACACACCCACCCATTGGAAAAACTAAAGGATGTCCAGTAAAGATAACGAATAAACACAAAGAATCATGAAGAATGATAAACATATTTAAGGTGGAGGTTTATTAGAAAAAGAAATATATATAATCATGAAATCCATAATAAAAATGAACTGTAGTGTGATTATGAGTATAGTTTACTCTAATTATAAGTGTTTAATATTTGGAATTCGATTGCATAATCCAGATTACATGTAATCTGTTAGCCTACTATCTATTTTTAAAAATCAACATGACAATACACTAGGAACATCAGCAGTGAAAGAATCACTATGCAAAAACAAAACTAACAAAACAGTTCACTGCAAATGCTCCTGTGCTGTGTGTGATCACATTGGTTGCCCTCACAGGATGATGTATATTCAACTTTAGGAACATGTCAAAAGTTTGTCTTCCCAACTGTTGTCATGTATGCAAACATATCCAAACAAATCAATACAAGCAATGGCACTGTAACGGGTTAAAACAATTTCAAGACTTATTAAAGGAGGGGAGCAAAGTAATGTCTACTGAGGAGGACATCTTAAATTGCTAACAGCAAAATGTAGTTTTTGGGTGAATTTCGCCCTAATAATTGCGTATCATACAGCTACCAAACAAGTCTGAATTATTTTTGTCGAATTTACAGGAAAAATTCATGCATTTAAAAATAAAGTAAAGCCTTATATTGTGACCATATTACCGTCAAAAGATCAAAAAGCTATGCGAATTGTACAAGCCTTTATTTAATTTAATATATTCCAGTGATAAATCTCTCCCTAGCCTTTGCAACTTTCTTTACTGTTTTAATTTGTTGTACTTGCATTGCATATATATATATATATATATATAATATATAATAAAGCCGAACAATTCAAATGATTCGATTCAACTGCATGAATCAAATCATCCATAACTCTGCATGGCAAACATCGACTGCGCTTGCGCCAGTTTTTCGACATTCGTGCACGCGCCTTTCCTAGCCAAACGCACGCGCTCTGAAATCCTTCTGCAACATCCACGAGAAGTTGGTCACGAGAGACCCAAGCGACCATTGAACGAGGCGCGAAAAACATCCGTTTCGGCACCGCGAGCAGCGTCGACTGGCATGCCTGTGCCCTGAAATTGTTTATTCGGTTTTATCGAAACTGTTGTGGTTGGCTAAGCTGTAAAACACACCCCTCCCGAGGAGTAGACTGAGCTCAGACTGGAGTTTGGTCATCAGCATCCGCTCCGCTTTTTACGGTGTGCTAGCTAATTATCTGCCTCCTTCAAATGGATTTTACTGTATTGTAGTTTGTTTAAACGACATATTTGAATACGCGACGCTTGTTTGATTGAGAAGCTCGTTTTTTAGCAGACGGGTAAGGCAAAAGCAGAGGATCACACACACATGTAGCCGCTGTGAGGCTAGCAGAGGAAGTGGACTGTTACTTTTCCATCCCTGTATGCTGGAAGGAGTCGCTCGCCTGGATGAATCACTGTTATGGAGACGCGAAATGCCACATAAAGGTTGATCTCTGTCTCTTGCACAGAGACTAATATATTCGCTGTCATTAACAGTTTCACTTGGAGCTGTCTGCAGCTGCACTGGTGACGTTAAATGAGTTAGCAGGGGATCGATCCTCCACATGCTAGCCCATTAGCCAACTCCCCAAGTGATTCGTCTAGCACAGTATTAACAGTTTATGTCGTGTCAGTCTATTTTTTGTAGACCATAGACCTTTAGATCGCGATTGGAACATGTCCTTTTTCAATTTTCGGAAGATATTTAAGTTGGGAACGGAGAAGAAGAAGAAACAGTATGAGCATGTCAACAGAGACGTCAACCCCGAGGATTTTTGGGAGATCGTGGGAGAGCTTGGGGATGGAGCCTTTGGCAAAGTCTACAAGGTAAATCACATGAGTGTTTTGCTCTTTTTCTTTGACTCTGCTGATTAGCATTAAAGGCTCAGATACTCCAAAATGTAAATATTTTCAACGTGTATACATGTATTATAATTAGTATCCTGTATGTTTGTTATTTTTGTTTGTTAATGTTTAAATATATTTTTTTGTGGAAGGCAAAAGGAGATGTTTTGAGTCACTGACAGCTTTTCACTTCCATCATGTTTTAAATACTATAAATAGAAAGCAAATGGTGGCTTATTTTTACTAACATATGATGTTGTGTTCCACTGAAGCAGGTAATTATATAATTTGAAGGTAATCTGGAATTACAGTGGTTTCCAAAGTGGGGGTTGGGACCCCCTAGAAGTTCTTGGGACAATGATGAGGGATCGCATGGTGATTTCCAGAACTCAAATAAAATTTATCAAACTATTAGAATTACCATATTTTATTCATAACTCACAGGAGATAGTTAATAAATACATTAGTAAAGAAACAACAGTATGAAATAAAAATGTATCAGCCATTCTTTTTTCCCCCCATTGGATT